CGCCCGCGTGTGAACGGTTTTTTTACCCGTACTGCGGTTCGAGACAAAAGAACGCTAGTCGTTTCCAGACCGGGGATAGAGGGACTGTGATTCCACCAATCAACGTTAAGCTTAACATTGGAGTTAAATTATCATAAACAAACATTTGTCTCGATAGTCTTTTTAGTAAAAAAATTATATTGTGTACTTTTGTATTTCATGATTATTGTCACGAAGGCATTGTAACACAGCGTCCACTAACGATACTAGATTATACATCGCTTTGAGAATACCAACGAGAGGTAGTCGGTAGCTTTAATACTCGTTTATGTAAGCAATCGCTTACCCGCCACTCACGGCCATATTGAAAAAAATGTAAACAAGCATTCATGCAGGCTTTGTTCATCAAATCCTGTGATATGTAAATTGCGTCAACTGGTGACGTCATTGAAATGTGTTTATTATTAATAGCAAGTCTCGTGTTTAGTGGTAACCCGGCTTTCGCAATTTTACGCTCATATAATATTTCATTGAAAATATAAATACAAAAAATCAAACAAGAGACTGCACTGAAGTCTAGGCGCAGAGATGATATTTCACAATGTATTATGTTAAGCAATAGTAAACAACACGCTGGAGATGGAAAAAAAGTTTTGTGATGTGACCATGTGACCTGCCACTTGACCCCGTTATTCATTTGGGGTTATAGCATAGCGTGTTTCATTTATAGCTTCGATGAATATGTGCTTGTCACATACACTAAAATTGTGACACTAAAATTGTGAATGTCATTACTTATAAAACATCATTGTGTATGCCCGCCTTTATCTCATCTCACTCGCTGCATTTAATATATTGAACATGTGCGTGATGCATTTGATAATATCATGTCAACTCATCAGTAAAAATACACTACACCTTTACCATAAAATGCGCCCTCTGGCAACGGAGCGCTTCTATGTCGTAAGCGGGTGACATATCCTCGGGGGCGGAGCAACGTCACAAGACGTTCCACGTTGCTACGACGCGCACCACTGTACCATGCATTTCTATGGGCTCTGTGCGCGCTGCTGTGGAACGCTGGTCGATAAAATTCGAGAAAACAACACAAACTCAACTTTGAAGTAATCCCGAACAACCAAATTTATATGTGTTACACACGTAGGGCTAATCTTGTTACACTGTTCAGATGAGTCTCAACAATCATCCCAAAGTACCGTTTTCTGCGACTTTTGGGCCTTTGTTTTCACCGCGAGGGTTGCCAGGCGGTGAAAATGCCCGGATGTCCGCCCCCGATGATAGGCCGCTGAAAGCGTAGATATTTTTTGTTATGTATATTCATGCAACAATGGAGATTTCACTATATTTTAACACAACCAAACGCAGTAATTGTTGTAAACGGCATTTCCTTAAAGGGTGGTAGTCGTCGCGCTGCGCATGTGCGACATTTGTGTTGATAAACATTAATTTTCCCACAATCCAATGCGCTCTACTAATAAAAAATCAAAAGTATGAGGTTCGACCTGGGCGTGACTTTCACTAATTACCGCCGGTGACTTCTTCGATACCTTCAAATCATCTAAAATAAATACCTAATTGAAGCTTGGTAACGTCCTATTTTGTACTCGTTGATCTGCGCAACAGTCAAAGTCACAATCTTTGTTTATATGAGACCCATATATCTCGCTCATGCGTGGCGCGACGACTACCGCTCTTTAACCCGTATACGTCACAGAAAAGTTCCGCCACTAGAGTGCGCGACTCATAGGAATGCTGTATCAATGTCGTTTTATTTTCTATTCACAGGCAAATACCATGGATGGACCTTACGAAGTGAACTAGCAAGTAAAGACAATGGTAGGTTTTGGCCATCATCGCCTGTCGCAACATCGACAGTTTTTGATAATCGGTTATTTGTTGGCGGTTCTGATGACTATTATTTTGGTGTGCAATCGACAAAGAAAAAGGGAAATAGGCGATACCGCGACACTTCCACACGATGATCAGTTGATATTGAATGACGTCGATGCAGGAAATAATAGCAGAGAGTTAAATAATCCTACAATGCACGATGTTCAGAATCCACATTCGTTTGAATTTCTTGAAAATCCCTCGCACCGTTGTCTGAACTCGCCATTCATTGTAATTATCACGCCATCCCGACCGCAGAATCCCGAAGGTCGAAGAGTGATTCGGTCAATGCGAAAACACGTAGAAGTCATCTCAGAACGAGCAATTGTTCAATTGTTTATTATGGGGACGTCAGGTAAGACTTCTCTAGAAGATCTTCGTAACGAAAGCAGATTGCACAATGATATCATCCTTGTTGACTTTATCGATACCTACAAAAACTTGAGTCTGAAAACACTGATGTTGCTTAAATGGGTCAACAACTACTGCCAGCAAACTAAGTATATTCTAAAAGCTGATGACGACGTTTACGTTAATTTGCCAAATTTGGTAAGACTTTTAGTTTCGGCTCCAACGGAAGGGTATGTCGTAGGCAACGTGCATTCTTTTTCACCGCCAATACGGTCAAAATGGAGTAAAAATTATGTGAGTGTAGAAGACTGGCCCGAAAAATTGTACCCGCCGTTTCCATTCGGATTTGCATATGCGTTTTCTGTTGACATTGCCGCACGTGTTTACCAAACTGCTTTATCAATTAAACTGTTTCCAATGGAAGACGTATACATAGGAATTATATTGAAACAGATCGACGTGAAACCTGTGAAAAATAAAATGTTTGTTGAATTCCCAGATATCTTCACAGAAAAGTCGTTTTTCTGTCCAAATGAAACTATAGTCATGCACATGCATGGCTCGCGGTCACTGACACACTATTACAAGGAGCTCTCAAGCCAGACAGGGGAGTGCATTAGAGGTCAGGTATTGAGGAAGATGAGGAAAACAAGGCTAAACAGATTTATAAGCTAGACGTTGTTTTTCTGAATGACTTAACAAAGTTTAATTAATATCCGCCATTGGAAAGATTTTGAAATAATAGTGATACAAATACACTTACACATGCTAAGTGTATGTTTTCATGGTCAAGGAATCCAGTAACGTAGATAAAATGAATGTAGATGCAAGTCACAATAAATGGGAGAAATGAGCTACTTGGCGGAGGTTTGCGTTATAATACTGTTTTTCTCAGAGTATATCGTGGAATGAAGCGTTTAAGGCTTTTGCGATTCCATGTATATTTCAATTAGCTGACGCATGCCCGTGTACTGTATCGACCACGTGTAGCAACATACATACACAAGTTGAAATGTCCCGAACAAGCACTATGCAGCGATCAAATACGTAATATGTATGTTCTATTTCATTGATGCAATACATGTGTCTGAAGCCGTTAGTATTTTTGTAAACACAGTTGCAACCCATATATCCCGAGAAATATTATAAATTCAGTGGTTCTACATTATTAACGCAATCAAAAACAACAACACATGTTTTGTTATCATTCTATTTATGTTTTGGATCGAAAATATTAAAAAAAAAAACGTTGTATTTGTTGACGTTGCACACTAATTTCTATTTTTATATCTGATGGTCGCGTTGGGACGAAATGGCAATACGGTTGTCGCAAATAATTAAGAACAAGTATGACATTTATATCTACTCTCAAATCCTGATATTAATAACTTCTTACCATAATAAACAATAAAGCAGTAGTCAGAATGTAAAACATATGTTATTGGTGGTGCAATTATTAGTCATAGCCACTATGTCCGTTGAGAGCAATCCTCACAAGTTATGCAGATTAGCAAAAAATACTGGGCAATTCAAAAACAAAAAATAATGTTCTTGAATTGCCCACTGTAATGTAATGAAAGATCTCGGTGAAAGCAAAAGAGCAAGGAGACTTGTTTTCCACCCAAATATTGTACAACTGTCTATCAACATGGTGTCTACTGTTCTAAATTCCAAGACTATATCGGATTGAATGCATAATTGTAGCCAGCATAACCAACGTCTTCATGGCTTTTATTCGTGATGAGGTTCCCCGAGTACCAGTAGTATTGTTCACAACTATTGCTCACATTTGTTCACATAGAATGCATTATACCTCTTTTATGACGAGAAACCACGCTATAAATTAATGCATCACATAACTTTATCACAGCTGTATGGCAAGAATGGAATTTCAGAAAACCTGACTTCGTTTTAGAAATTACACCATGACTATTCAAATAAAGGTATAAGTGATCATGCACGTGTTTTCAAAGATCTTAGAGATTACTTGAAGTAACGAAATTGGACGAAAAGTACACTGAATCCACCCTTGTTCAATGGAAAAATGCCTGATGAAATACTGAGGTTGAATAATTAGACAATACTTTCACAAATGAAAGGAGCGGACTTCTTCAGGGTTATACAGATATTTTAGTGTGGTTGTTGGAGGGGTTTGAGCAATTAAAATAACAATAACATTAAAATATACAATAAAGCGTAATTTAAAACATTTATAATTTGTGGAATTAACAAATGAGAGAATTGTTTTTTTTTCGGCTGGGAACACGGCAAGATCGATCTATAACATTTTACGTTATTCCGTGTTTTTTCAATGTTGTTTCGTTTTGGTGTTTGTGAATGCGAACACATTTACAATTGAGCTAGGCAGACGCCCATGCGTTGTCTATTAAGGGGTTGTCAAACTTGAATTCGTGGTCATTCACTACAATACTTCGCGTGGTCAGCAGGTGTGTCAAGGTTCTGGTGTCATCACGTGGCGTGTGGGACAATTCGGTCCCGGTTCACTGTATGGGTTTCGAAGCTGTTACGTCTAGTCGTACGTTATCAATACTGAAGGTCTGCTATGCCGTTCACCACTGAGTTCAGCAATTACTTCAAATGCGTGTTCGTCGACTGACTACTGCAACTGAATAGCTGAAGAACCGCAAGGTGCGTGAACATCGCCGACTGACTACCTCAACTCTATGACCAGAGAATTGCGTGAACGTCATCGTCGCTTCTACGTAGCCATTCCAGCTTGTTTCAGGGTGTTTGCATACATGTTTGTATTTATATGAAAACCCTGTGCCTATGATTTGTATTTGTATGTAGCATATTGTAATTAAGCAACTGTTTTAAGGGGCAATCATTCCGAATAATTGTATATTATTTCTATTGAGTTGGAATATTGTAGTAATTGATGCAGTTTTGTGGTGTTTCTGAAGCAACTGTTTAAATATAGCACTATTAGTTATAGTGATTATTAAGGTTTTGTTGTGTTTATGAAGCCACTGTTTAAATATAGTACTATTTATTTAATAGTGAGTTGCATTGTTGTAGTGATTATTGCGGTTATCCGGAGTTTCTGAAGCCACTGTTATTAGTTGAACTGGAGTTGTTGTGAAACCCAGCTGTCGTCTGGTGTTAGGATAATATCTTCATGGGATGCTCAGAATGCTTGCCCTTAGTTTGTAAAGATTTGAATACGGAGGTATTATATGCAAGTTGCATATTGAATGTTTAGTAATTCATTGTATGTAGTTTTCATATATTGTAGAATCCATTAATACCTTGTGCGCGCAGAACAAATAAATTTATATTTTGATATTGATTTAATCTTTTGTTTGTCAATCCTTGTCATTTTCCTCGGGTTGTGACAGACATTTATATGGATTATCAAAAACAGTAGTATTATTGATAAAATGCGAATAAATATATGTTTAATCTAAATAAACTCTTGAATTACAGTTTAATAGTATGTATTTTTTTAAATATATTTCTTGCTTGTAAAATGGTGTAATAAATTTGAAATTTGGTGTAGATATAACTATGGTATGCTGCTCGGCATTCTAAATTAACACATACAAAATTAGAACTAGGTACTAGAATGTAAAGAGTATCATTTTCTAATGTAAAAACAATAGATGTAAAACCTATTTTGTTAAACAGTGAGGCAAATTCATTAAAATTGAATGTTGAATAATATAACAATTTTATTGTTTGTTGGAAAACCCCAGTAAGAAAATAATTGTATGTAAACGATGATCGTAAAGTTGTTTACTTTTTAACAAGTGTATCTTGGTTTGATTACAAGTGAGATATGGAGTTATCAATCAAATCAGACAGGCGGTGAATGAATAGGTGCATAAGACAACCACTCACCAGAAGACCAATGAATGAGTGATGTTTAACACTACTTATCTATATTAGAATTTGGATCTGTCACAGTAACCAAACAATATGCCTGAAAAATTCACTGGCGAAACGTTACGGTGCGACCAAGTGCCACTTCCAGTAGTCTGCCTTAGAAAATATTCTGGATGAACGCAATAATTATATCCTTCTAGTAATCAGCCTTGTAGGCTTGGTATAAAATGAACTTTTGCAATTAGATACAGGCAAAAGGATTCAATGCTGAACACTCATTTCAGCTGGAGTTTGACGTAAAATTTGAATTTTTGATACACAGCAGCTGCAAGGTGCGTGGGGAGTGGTGTCATTTGAGTGATGGTTGCATTGCAGTTGAAAACTCTGATAGTAAATGTTGATGACCTGAGAAACACGTGGTCCAAACTGAAGCTAAATAGGTTTTGTGAAGTAAAATATTCAGGATATTTAGGACTGCAAATATCACTTCATAAACTAACAGAGAAAAATAGGTGTTCGATTAGGATGACAGCATTTCCGACACTCACATGATATCTTACGGAGGAAACGACTTTAGTATGTCAAGGAATGTACTACAGTGGCAGTCATATTTTAACTACATCACCTTATGTTGATTATTATGGTATGCAGTGTTCTCTATATGATTGATATATTTTAGATCGCTTGAAGGTTTCTGGAGACAACCAGTGAGTAAATTTTCACTGTTTTTTTTTATAATTCAATTTTGACCATCTTATGATATTCAGTTTTCATCATTCACTAGAACTTCATCACAAAGGAAGAGAGACCTGCTTGTCCAGAACACATTTCCCAACCAAAATTACATGTTGGAAGTCATCAACAGGCACTGCTGGCCCTTCTAAAATGAACCTGTGAGGTGTGAAGCAGTCTTTAACTAGAACAAACGTGACCAAATACAGAGGGCGCCTGACACATACAATACAGATTTGTCCACCTGTTTCATGCCTCTATTGTACACAACACAAAGAGAGCTCATAAACTAGTGTTCTTTATCTTTAATTAAGTATGGATCTCAACTAGAACATACTAATTTTTAACTATATACTAATTTGCATCTGTCATTACATCTTTGAAAATACGTTCGCATATATACCAATGTATGTTATATAAATCATTCTTTTTGAGTAATGATGTGTCACATTAGAATATGGATAACTATTTTTTTTATAAGATTGATCTTTTTAATCTGAACAGCTGAAGTTACGATCTATACCAGTTAGTGTTTAAAACGAATTTTGAATGTCTTAGAATCTATGTCAAACGTCGGGACACTAGAACTATGGGAAGCTTGTTTTATTAAGAAGAAAACCGCTTCTACCTGTGATTTGATGGTCGAAAAATAACTTGACATGCTACTCAACACTAGCTTCCAGTGATGATCAAGTTATCGTGTATCTTCAAAGTTCACTACTAAATTCTGAAATGCATTATATGCCAGATTACTTTCATGGTATGGCTATTTGTATTTTGACTTTTTTCCCTGGTTTTCCAGATTCAACCCCAGGCATGATTTGGCTAGGCATGACATCCTTTACACAGGGGTATTGACTTGTGGGGTTGAAGCAAGGCCCCTTGCTCAAATAAACGTACATTATATTCCTATCATTTTATGCCTTTTTGCAGATACCTATGATGTTGCTATGGGTACAAAGTAGTTTATATTTTGCAATTTCATTGAACCTGTAGGTAAGATTATTTCAAGTTAATATTTTTCACTTTCAAAGGTGAGTCAAATATATTATTCACAGTGGCAATGTTCGGTATACATCAAAATACGAGCATTTGTG